TATTAATATTGAAACACCCGAACGTCCCTATTCACTAAATTGCACTAACAACAGAATGGTGCAGTCAAGCACGCATCAGTTGTTACAATTTTGAACATTGACAGCACCTTTATAACCTAACAAATAGGAGCGACATTCGTATGTTCGACAATACAAGTGTATTTTATTGTAATAATCATGACTGTACGAGCAATCATGTACCTGAAACTTATTGCTAAATTGTCGTTCTATTATAAGCTGCAATCACTTTGTTCTCAAATCATATAGCTACCCTTTTAAAGTTTTAAATTATACTGATTCAGTTGGTCCTGGGTTCCTATTAGGGACACTACTAAAAGAATAAAACTAAAAAGTTACAGTTTACAGGGTTATTGGTACCTAGTAGCGCCGCGCCGCCGCCATATTTTAGAAACTTTTCAGCGGTACAGAAAATGCACGTGAAATGTAAAGGGTCGATTTCAGAGCACTGAAAGAAACTTTCGCTAAATGACATATATTCTTTCTTATAACCTAGCTATCGGTTTCTAGGATATAGATAGATAGATATACAATTTTATCAATAAACTTAACATGTCTCATAAATCTTTGAATGTGCTGCACGAGACATCTGATGAACATGAATAAACCAATGACAGTTGCAAGAGTATTATGATATTTTCACACAAGATTTTGTATGGGTACTAATACTACTCGTATGTAAATTACCTATCTAATTCTTATACAATACTAACGGCCGCCCGCGACTTCGTCCGCTTTAACTTTAATTTTTGTGATAATTCCACGGGACCCTAACATTTTTTCGGGATGAAAATCATCCTTTTCCTCAACCCAGGTAATAAACTATATGTGTGCCGGATGTAATCCCAATTCGTTCAACCATTTTCCGATTTAATCAAGCCCCGCAGTAAAATACTCCCCAGTAAAATTGGTAAAGGGGGAGTCCCCTTTGAGAGTAGAGTTTCAGAGAGTCCTGATACATGTTATTCTTTATTCCAGGTCTCCACTATAAATTCTGCGTTTAGAGTTAATCGAAATATTAACGTTAAACTTCATCCGTATAAAAACTTCGCCACCCTCCAAATGGCAAACTTTATAATTTACTAAAATAAGTATTCGTACCAAGTTTTAAGACTAAGACCTAAACTTAAAAAATAAGAATTTTCATACAAGCTTTCATCCCCTTTTTTACGCTCTACGGGGTAGATTTTGGAAAAACACTGCTATTCATTATTCTTTATTTCTGGCCTTGAGTAAAAATACCATGTTCCAAGTTAATATAAATGCACGTTAAAATTCAGCCATATAAAAACTTCGACACCCTCCCAATCCCCTTTTTATGGGGTAGTTTAGAAAAACTAAAAATGCCAACCTTTATAATTTATTAAGATAAGTATTCGAGCCAATTTTCAAGTATATTAACACTAGGAATAATATTTTCATACAAAGTTTTCATCCCTTATTTTAAACTTTTCTGGAATGAATTTTTCAAATCCTTTCTTAGTGTACCCCTTGACCCCATTAGGAACCTATCGGGTCAAATTTGGAGTCTTTAGACCCATCAGTTTGGGAAATGCGTTGATTGTCAGTCAGTCACTTAGTTTCTTCTTGTATATACCAATATATTAAAGCTGTAATAATGGATGGCATGCTCTCCGCAGCGGCCAAGATGAACATAGGATTCTGAATCCCTGAACAAAATTAAAGGGCAATTCCGTGTTTTAAAATTGCATGCCGATATAAAGAATCGAAATTTTTGTAATAAACACACTCTGGAAAAATTGGCATGCACCCCTCGTATGACCAAGCAACCGTGGTAAATTTCCGGATAACTCTGTAAAATTTGAACACAGATTTTCCGTGATTCCAAATTACTCCTAATAAAAATTAATATTAATTGTATAACAAAATAATTATCTAATTCAAATGGCATGCGTGTTGAATAAGCCCATCCCATCGTATTATAAATAATAATAAAAGTTGCAAAAAACACTGTGCATATTTGGGCGACTTCTTCCTGCATGCCGCTTCATGTAAGTTCACGATTTACATTATTTTAAGTCATGATTGTAAATGGCATGCCCAGGCCCAACATACGTTGTATGGAGATTCGAATCGTTTGAATTGACAATTTTTCATCAAAGAATTGAGAAAGTAAATACATAGGTATAAACCGTGACCATCTTTTTTTGTTTATTTAAACAATTTTCATGAAGCTTACAATAGTATCTACTAACAAAATACAAAGCGGCATGCAGGAAGAAGTCACGGCGTCTTTCAAGTTTTTTTTTCAATTGAAAAATTGATGTTTATTCAAAATTTTCACAATTTTGTATGTTGGGCTGTAGCTACATGCATGCCATTTACATTCATAACTTAAAATAATGTAAATTCACGAAATACAAAACGGGCATGCAAAAACAATTCCACCTAAATTTGCACAGTGTTTTTTGCAACTTTCATCATGCATGCCTCTATTTTGCAACATCCTGGTGTGCATGTCAATTTTCATACTATTAATTAATGATACAAATTAAGTTTCCTTTCAATGGCATGCAGTTTGGAATCACGGAAAAACTGTGTTCAAATTTTACAGGGTTATCCGGAAATTTACCACCGTTGGTCATACGAGGGGTGCATGCTAATTTTTCCAGAGTGTGTTTATTACAAAAACTTCCATTCTTTATATCGGCGTGCAATTTCAAAACACGGGAATTGCCCTTTAATTTTGTTCAGGGATTCAGAATCCTATGATCATCTTGGTCCGCTGCGGAATGCATGCCATCCATTATTACAGCTTTAATTTGTTTAAACTTCCGTATATTACAATTTCATGCAGTATACTATCACGGAAAAACACGAAAATCCGCTACACAAAGAAAAGCGTATAGCATAAGTAAAAGACTTATGAAGAGGATGCGCGGGGAGGGGGGGGGGGGGGGGCTAAAACCCCGACTATCATTGATATTTTAGGGTTAGTTATCAAGCCTTAAAAAGGCATGCACGACAAAATCGTGGAACGTCACCTCGCACCAGCTCCGGTCTAATAACATTCTGCCGGCCACAAATCAAATGATGTCTACGATTAGAAGTTTAGAGGTAGTTCCACAGAAGATAAAAAATATTTGACTTTTGTTGAAATGATCCCCAAAAAATAGTAAATTATCACAAAAAAAATCAATTGCAAAAACCGTAAAATTGGTTTTGATGTCAATTGTATTTTTTTGGTGTTTTTTTCACTTTTGAGGATCGTTTCATTATTTCTTTATTTTATTCTCTTCCGCCATAAAATTATCTGATTTTTAATACAAATTATAGCATAAAGTTTATTCAAACTTTAACCACCTTATTAAGAAACAAGGAATAAGCTTAGACCATGGACTTTAGACTAGTTACACCGTGTTTTGTTCTTGTCATTCAATGAATACATACAAAACATTTAGTAACTAAACAGAGCTTATTCTTCGTTTATTAATAAGGGGATTAAAGTTTTGATAAATACACTCGAGAGCAATGAATCCGGGTCACTTAAAGAATCCTAAAAATCTCGAAAAATAAAAAAAAAAGCTTGATGAAATAAATTCTAATTAAAAGACAATTAAATACTCCTTAAATGAAGATATTAAAACTTCTTAGTTATTGTAATGTTATATCATAAAAAGAAACAAATTTTAAAAGGGGAGACTTTTCAAGATGGACCTACGAAATGACTGCATTTGTTTTTGCTTTTGTTTTATAATCTGTCTTTTATCATTCATTTAAACCATGTCGATAGTGTTCAATATTAATTGTTCAAGCTGTAATCATATTGCTTACACCTGAATGAAGAATCTCTTGTGTATTAAGAATATAAGATAAGAGTTTTTATTCATGACACCGGGATACAGAAGCTAAGTATTTTGGTTTATTACGTTCTTATTTGCGAATCGGTAGATGAATACAAATACCTAATTATTTAAAATAAATAATATCAACTTATTCATAATTGTGTTTATACAGCTTAACAAACAGGTACTTGCAAGGTCGAGATATAAAGCAGACTATGTTAATACGTACATAACATTTGAATACGGGATCATTTCTATTATAACTTTATAGTTAGTCAATCTTACAAAGCGAAGCGTGACTGCATTATAATACATCAGCTATTGGTTAGAAAATATAAACATTATTGTATGTTGAATATCTATATCTACAATTCAAATGAACTTATTTCACTGTTGCTCATAAGTATGGATAGACAGGCGGGCTTATAGAGATGTACGCACTTGAAGGCAGCTAGCTGTAAATTATCTATTTGTTTACTAATGTAACATCAAACGATGTTTAGTGACGATAAGTAAAGTATTATTGAAAACGAAAAAAAAATACATTTGTATTATTTTTCGTTTTATAACTTTAGATGAAATGGACGTAAGTTGCGAGCTATTTCTATGTTCAATGAAAACAGACAGAGTGCAATGTGGTAAAAGAACACATATTAAATATTTTTTGTATACAAACGTTTTCGTTGTACGGCGTAAAAGTTTACTAAAATCAAACATGTATAAGCTCGCCCTTTGGCGAAAGATAAGTAAGTAATCTAATCACTTAACAACAGTGGCAATATTTTTTGCAACTAGAAGGGAAATATTTATTTTAACGAAGTTTATTGTTTTAAGATATATATAAATAAAACGTAGCGTAGACGTAAATAACCAATAGGTGTAGACGTTAATGTCAACATTGCTTTAATTTTGTTTACAAGATTGTAAAAACGCATAGTTTTTAATTTAGTATCTACTCAATTCAAATTGGCAAAACGTAGTTGCTTTTTATAATAGGTCAGTACCTAAAAATTGCATGACCCATCAGCAAACATTTTATTCAACAATGCTAGCAGGACCTCAATCAAAAATAACCTCTAATTTTTCACTTAACACTTTTATCTCATTTGTGGAGTACCTACCTACCTGACCTGCCTTGCGAATACACTCATAATATTGCCATACGAAAGTACTCACCAGAGTCATCCATAAACAACGGCATTTCACTAGAACATCCCATTCATCAGACCAGAGACAAATTTTCACAATTTTAAAAAAGGTTTTATTGTTCGATTTCGAACTGAACTGTTTTTTTGTCCAGGGTAGCGATTCTCGTGTGGCTCGTGCGCCAGGACAGCGTGGACTGAGCGTTGGATCTTGGCTGCCTGTGGTGTGGTACCTAACTCCAATTGTCCAGTGTGATTATACGGGCCACGCGTTCGGAAACAATTGAACGTAGGTATTTGCTTTGAGCCGCTGCAGATAAAGATTTCAACATCCGTTTCTTTTGTTTTATTAAAAAAATCACTGTTAAATTTTTGTATGAGTAACTACGAGCATAAAATATATAGATAGTACTTACTACTACTAACAAGTATTATTAGGTGTGATGGGTGAAGTTAACATTTATTTTTACAAAAACTGGTGAAGAAAATTATCGAAGTTATGTTAAAGAAGTTGGAGAATGTACTTAATAAATTTATTAGATATTTTTTTGGGAAAATAACGATTCACTTAAGCACTTAAATATATTTCTTACCTAAAGAACGGCTTTTAATAGATTTCGATTTATTCTATATTTTGTTGCATAAATCAAAATTCAATTAAAAGTTAAAAATAACTAATACTAAAAGACAGCTGACTAACAAAAAAACCGGTCGACAGACTTACTAACAAAAAACACCTAATTAAAAAACAACGCATCATCCTTAACTGTATAAATCTCGCTTTATAATAGATTTGCCGCCCCCGCTTGTCGCCAGGAGCAAAACTTCGATTGTTTCGTTATTTCAACTGCACAATGCCATTGCGCCTTACGCTTTATTTGTCACATGTCGCCCTGTCAATCAATTATACTCTAAGAGCTTGAGACTACAGGTATATATTTATTTCTTATGTTTTCATGGAAATTAATAAACTCTTTTTTAAACTGTATCACCAGGATTTACTAACTTTTTGTCATAACCGCACCGCAGTAGCTTTCACAACATTCCCATATCTAAAACAACCCTTACCTACCCTACAACAACCCAAACCTTAACATCTGTAGGCCACTTTAGGTATAGGATATTGATCAGAAAATGTCACACTCACACGTTGCCAGCTCACCAACTGTAAAATACAACTGTATATAACTGTAATATACCTTACGTAATGAACTTTTACTAACTGTAACTATCGAAAAGTTCTATTTATTTCTTTCCCTGCTGGACTGGCAGGCTGGCATGGGAGATTTTTAATGATGTCCTCAATCCAAGATTATTATTTTCGTTTTATTGCTGGATTATATTCAGTATAATGATTACCTAGACATAATAAAACTTGGTCTATTTATTTCTTCCAATCTTTTAGTCATCTCATCACTTGCTGAGATTTTTCAGATTAAGCCATTACTGAATGTCTTGCTATTTTTCCTGTTTGTCAACCTTAGATTTATTACCTCGAAATATACAAAATCTACATGGAACGCGGTTTATATTTACTAGAGACACAACGCATTTAGTGTGAAATAATAGTGTATCTTAATTCCAGTCATTTAGTTTATGTATTTTATTGTATATCTCCTAAACTAAGAACACTATCTTGGTAGAAATTGAAGAACAATTAGCTTCACGTGTTATGCAATTTCGAATTTTTATTATGATAAAAAGTTAGAGCGTGATGGTGTATGCACATATGATGAGCTGACGTAATCTTAAGTAAAGAAAAGCATAAGGGCCTGTCCACATCTCCACGTCACGATTTGTCGTCAACATGAAACTTGCAAATCGTGCAATCCAGTGAAGCCAAATGCCTGACGAGATTGCTATGGCTATCGGTATCGCTTACGATTTCTTTTTTTATTTTTGACCGCTGAAGGTTTTGAAATGCCTCGCGCTCGTTTTTTTTTTTGCATTGGTAATAACAATATTAAAAATAAAATGAGTGTCAGGTTAGCAGTTGACCCCCTCCGCTAAAAACATCCTGCGAATACACTTACTTAGACGCGAGATCCCCGTTGAGTGACTTCACCGCGTCTTCGCACCCAACAGCCTCCCGGCCTAGCCGGGGTTCCACGGCAGGGATCACCCGGGGTATTTCGGGAGATCCCGCAGACGTGCGCAGGACTGCCCGCGCTGGGAGCTAAGTGCGCGGCCTATTGCCCACCGCACCGCTCCTCGTCCGCTGCGGAAGGGCTGCCTAGGTGTTTCCCTCACAGGCCCTACCGCGGCCCTCTCATGTAGGACAGAACTACAAGAGAAGGCTGCCGTCACGGAATCCATCGGTGACCGGCATAGCTAACGCCATGCCGGGCAGCGAGGGATTCCGTCAGTCACTGGGCGGGCGCGGCTAGGGAGGCAATTGACCCACTGGGGCTCAATCGCCTAACGGGATTGCTATGGTTATCGCTATCTCTTACGAATTCTATTTGTAATTTCTGACCGCCTAAGGTTTTCAAATACCTCATACTCATTATCTTTAATGTTGTTATTACCAATGCAAAAGAAAAAAGAGCGCAAGGCATTTGACGACCTTTGATGGTCAGAAATAACAAAATAAAATCAAATAAAGTAATTGATAACGATTGCCATGGCAATCCCGTTAGGCATTTGGAACCCTGGTCGTCAATTTACTCGTTCTGTCAACGCATCGTGCCGCGTTACCGCGCCGTTCCACGTTGGCAATGTCGTGACGTGAGGTTTCGGACAGGCACTTAGTCACTTCTGTAGTGCTATACTGTAAAATTATCACCCGCGGATCCACATCGGATCCGCGCGTTTCCCATACAGATTCGGGCGGATCCAAAATTTTACAGAATAGCACTGCTGGTTTCATATCATATGTATCATGTGTAAGAACTGAGATCAACAATTGCGTATTCATAGGGATCTTTTGATACAAGTAAGTATGACTTGATACTTTTGTTTCGATACCAAGTACTTTTGTTAGATATCGAATTAGTCTTGCGATACTTACTCGGTATCGAAAAACTTAAATTATTCATTAAATTACGAATAATATCAAATAAAGTCCAATCAAATAACATAAATGACTTTCCTATTAGAACTTACATAAATCGGCCAAGTGCGAGTCGGACTCGAACACGAAGGGTTCCGTACAACAAACCGCGAAAGGAAAAAATCGTTACTTTGTTTTGGTCACAAGTTACAAAGTAAATTATGAATCGGAGTTTTCAGTATTTGTTGTTTTAATACAGCATATAAGACATCATAAACACATTCCTCACTAGTTTCAGATAGACCCTATTTTGAGATAGACCTGGGGGCCATTCGCCTAACGGAAATGTTTTGGGAAACGCTAACGCTTCCGATTTTATTTTGTTATTTCTGACCTCAAATACTTCACGCTATTTTTATTATTACCAATGCAAAAGAAATAAAAATAGCGCGAGGCATTTGAAAACCTCAGGCGGCTAGAAATAACAAAATGATATTGTAAGCGTTAGCGTTTTCCAAAGCATTTCAGTTACGCGGATGGCCCCCCGGTAACAAAAACTGGTCTAAAAACATAACACATTTCTTGTAGTTTTCATACATTTTATATGGACTCGCCACACACGGTACGCCGGTGGCCGCCACACGCTACAATTCGTCATTGCTCGCTTCTTGTGGCCCGCACCGGCCACTTAATACGCCGATACAAAACACCGCCACACGTCACTCGCTCGATTCCCCCTCTCTCCCTTGCATTAGTCGGCCGCTGTCGCGCGCTTCAGCCACTTTAGTAGCCGCTTCTAGCTGCTCGTGGCGGCGTCACTAAGGTAAGGGAGAGACGGGTGGGGAATCGCGCGAGTGACTTGTGGCGGCGTTTTTTATGTCGGCGTATTTAGTGGCCGGTGCGTGCCACAAGAAGCGAGCAACGACGATATGTAGCGTGTGGCGACCACCGGCGTACCGTGTGTGACGAGTCCATATAAAATGTATGAAAACTACAAGAAATATGCCGGTGGCGGCGTTTTGTGGTTGTGGTCGGTGGCCCGTGTGCGACGACACTAAGAAACGCGGGCTTTTTTATGTTAAAAGGGTAGCAACGTAAGGCCTGCCTGGTGGTAAGCGGCCACAATAACCTATAGACGCTTGCGACACCAAAAATGTCACTCGTACCGTTGCTTACCCTGACCCAAACCCCTACCCCTAAACTTATTCGCTGAAAGAAATACAGCCCCACCAAAAGGTATTGTTATTTTTCTTTCTTGAGACTTGAAATAAAGAATAGCATGGATCAGGGTTATTTGAAACTCTCTACCCTAATAGGGTCAAATGGGGTAGTAAATTTTACTGGAGAGTATTTTACTGCGGGGCTTCATTTAATCGGAAAAGGGCTAAACGAATTTGGATAATTGGATAGTTTTTTAAGTGGGTTGAAAAAGGGATAATTTTTATCCCGAAAAAATGTTATGTTCTCGTAGGATTCTCAAAAAACCCAAAGTTAACGCTAACGAAGTCGCGGGCGGCCGCTAGTTTGATATAAGAATGTCGGTGCAAAAGCCCCTTAAATATAATAAATAAGAAGCCGAAAAGGATTATTCTGGGATAAAGTCAGCTTTCTTTACGTGCCGATACTAAAAACCTTTTCAATACTTAATTAATAAAAGTATTAAGTGTAAGTAAGATTTCTTCTGTGCACAGTTATAATATAAACAACAAAAAATTATATTTTTTTTATTACTATGGTTGCAGTAATTTTGCTAAAGCTTTATTTAACTAGAACGGGATTTAGCCAATACAAAAATGTCAAAACGTCAATGTTATTTCCACATGCTTGTATGGACTATCTGGTTTAGATTAAATCGAGATTTAGCAAATTTGCTGCAAGTGGACCTTAGTAACTTAACACATGAAAAAAGTAAAATGTAAGCAAACTTTTTAATTCATTACATTTTATTACATTGCCACATTGTTTATTATGTTCATTTATTCTGAGGCTCATAGTGCTGTGAGGATACTAGCCCCATAGCAACCTTAAACAGATCCTAACATTATAATCAGCACGGCACGGCATTACTCCAGTGAGCCCACATGACAGATGGACTGTCAGTGCGCACGTTCAAGAGCACACCGATTATCGAATTACGTTCCCTCGTACCCAATGTTGCTCTTTCAACTGTCATGGCCGTTGCTCTTTCCGCTATGGCCGTCGCAATTCCTAGTGCATCCCGAGAATTATTACGGGATGCCAGTATGATTATCGTCACCTTGTGTTGAGAAAATCACGCGGAAAACCTGCTTCCGGGTGAATGACGACTTCTTACAGCCGGTCCTTCTTAGATAGGTCATTATACAAGTGCTTTTACATTATCTTGTTCATTAAAATTGGATAGTTTTACCTCTGATCAGTGAAACGTTATGTAATAAATAGCATCGATTCTTACTGAATGCGACAAATGGAGAGTATTATTTAAATTCGTCTTATATGTAGCGCCATCTCTTGGAGAGTAGCATAACTAAAAACGATAAAAAAGTTCATCTTCCTGCTAACCCCTCGTTTATACCAAGGTATAATACATGTGTTTAACAACTTTTATACAAGTCTTCATTTTTGTTCACACTC